TCTGCATCCCCTCCTTGACACCACTGAGGATTTTCAGGGTCCAGGAGCCTCCTAGCCAAAGCCGTTCTGATCATTCTAATTGCTTTGGTGGGGTTGGTACAGGAGGAGGGAGGAGGAAAAGGGAAACCAGATGGAAAGCAATGCTACTGGAAAGTGTTAGCTCTTAGGGCCAGAGGTGCAAAAAACTCAGAACAAGCTGTTCCCTCAAAACAACATTCTAAATGATTGCAATAAGGTTCAAGTGTGCTTTTGTGGCTGCTACGCGGTTTCCTTATGAAAGTGTGCTGAGTGAGATCTAAGAATCAGTTTACAACGGGATTTTGAGAATGTAATCTACTTACAGTTGTGGATGACCAGTGTTATAATTATTTAATTAGTACAAAAAATAACTGCCTTCTCTATCAGACTTGTTTTCACTTGGCATGATCATGATTACTTTGCAAACAAATTTTTAAATGAAGATATTATTAAAGGTTCACAAGTATTTTCATTTTCTATATTGTATGAATATATCATCCCAATTTTTCCCTTCCTGTCTTTATCCCTGTAGCTTTGTACATACACCCCTACTAAGGGGAGATGCAATTGGGAAATCCATATCTAAATATTTTTAGGATTTCACCCAGAAAACATTTGTTGTTTATGAAAACTTCATCGAAAGACAGCCAGAAGAAAACTCATTTTCTTTCAGTTCTCTTCCTTTTTGATTTTATTCTTCTAGTTCATGTTTATTTTGGGGTGCTTATTTATAATGCTAAAAGTGTCCATTTTATACAGAAGTTATCCAAGGTCTCCCTGCATGGGTTTTACAGTTTAGCACCTGATCAGCATGTGGTATACTACTTCTAAAGCATAACCCAAATACAAAATATTTTTTAAAAATTGAAAATGCAAATGAGTGAAGTCACGAATTTTAGTTGTGTACCTTCAGGTATATCCATTAATGAAAAAGAACGAATAGATGAGTGAATGAATAAACTAGAGCTATGCCTAAAGGAATAGTGAAATGGCTAGATGCTGAATCCTTTCCATCAACCGGAACTTCTTCATGACCAGCTCTTCTGGGCATAAAAGATTCATGAGTATCTCTTGGCTCCCTTCTATTATTTCCTGGTGTGCTGCTCCCAAGAATGTCCTGGCTGCCATTTTCACCTGGGGAGTCGCCAGGAGAAAGACCAGCTGCTCATATTTAGAGTTTTGTAGTTATGACTCCCATATCCAATTCTGGCTCTTTCCCCCTATTTTCTCATACTTGGGGGGCGGGGTCAAGAATATATGCCCTGCTCCATTCTTCCATTAGACACTACCCTAGGCCCATGCCCTATTTTGGTACCATCTGCTTGGAGACACAGAGAATAATAATAAGAGCTCCTACTCATTGAGAAAATGCTGTGAGCTAAGTATTTACATGTTTAATTTCAAATTCTCATGCTATCCTGCAAGGACAGTATTAGACCCATTTTTATAGATCTACAAAGTAAAACTCAGAAAAGTTAAGAAACCTCTCCAAGGTTATCTGATACAGGATTTATATTTGGCCCTTTCTTCTTTCCCATCAGTGGAAGATACTTCTCTTCCCTTGGAAAAAATATGTTAGCATTTTCTTTGATTGACTCTCCACTTTCCATTAACAACCCTCCCCGGAGAGCTGCTCTCCCACTCTCATCCCATGCTGGTGTCCTGAATTGCCCACAGTGATTTGGCCCTTACATTGAATTTTCTGGCCTCTTGTCTGTTAGACTCAACTGATATCTTAAAATATCTGATTAGTCCTTAATAATGTTGGCAGGTTAAAATCATATTTTAAAAAGGAAAGTATATTTAAGCACTTAACTTTCACAATTCACTCATTGAGAGTACATATTTTTTCCCATGTTACCCAGAGAAACTGGACAATGAAATGACCACCTGTTAGCTGCTAATGATGTTCACATGCCTTTAAAAAAAGTAATTCTGGCTTTATCTGTCTACAATCTTGGCGACAAAACTCATGAGAACATCAAGGGCACAGGAAGCCAAAGGCAGCAAACTGACAATAAAGTTTGTGCTTAGACTACTAATAAGAAAGGAGATACTGTGAATCTCTAATTCCACATGATTATTTAATCTCAAGAGGGTAACATAAAACTGAATGCATATTTTAAGAATCTAAGTTTGGGTGTTCAAATCTAGGACTGAGATCAGAGGGGCTTTCACACAGTATATTTCCTACTTGAAAAAATATTTTATAAAGCATCAAATATAAAACATGCCAATCATTATTTCAAATGCATAATCTAATTTGACATTCTGTGGGTGTGTCTATCATTATGCCTTTCAAATGAAAATCAATACATAAATAGTGAAAGAACTTAATTTTAAGTAATAGATATTAACTATATCCTACATTGCAGAAAAAAAAATACGAAGACTTAAAAAGGGCTTACAACTATATATATCCATCAGAATATAGAAATGAAGCATTTTCTAAAATTAGGGCTAATATCATAGACTAGGGGCGCCTGGGTGGTCAGTCGTTAAGCATCTGCCTTCGGCTCAGCTCATGGTCCCAGGGTCCTGGGATCGAGGCCCGCATTGGGCTCCCTGCTTGGCGGAAAGCCTGCTTCTCCCTCTCCCACTCCCCCTGCTTGTGTTCCCTCTCTCGCTGTGTCTCTCTCTGTCAAATAAATAAATAAAATCTTAAAAAATATATATATCATAGACTAAATGACCCCTTTATTTTAATAGTGAAATCAAACTCCAGAGACTTTTGGTTTTAGTTCTTTTGCTAGTATGTTTTGGGTCCCTATTTAAGTTTACTGATTTCTATGCATCTCATTTTTAAGGTAATATTTCCATCCAAGTCCAAGGTTGATATAAACTAAGTTTACCTTTTATTTGTTCACTTCACTGTAGTGTAATGGTTAAAAGCATAGGCTCTTATCTCAAATTGCATGGGTTTGAAACTTGTCTCCATAACCTGTCTTTGTACAAATGGCCTTAATTCTCCATGCCTCAGTTTTCTCATCTATAAAATAGGTTTAGTAGTAGTACCTGCTTCGTTGGGTTAGTGGGAGGATTAGGTAAGTCAACATAAATGAAAACTTAGAACAATGCCTGGTGAAAAGTAAGTGCTCAATGGTGGCTAGCTGTTATTATTTTTAAACTGCAAAGGAAAAAGTGACTATGAGATCCCTAGAGAATTAGGTACATTTTAAAATGAGTAGATAAATCATATGCCTCTTCCCTTGTCTCTAGGCAGGATTGAATTTAAGACCCCAGTAACAAATAATTGTCTTTCCCAATCAAAAATAAATTCTAAAGAGGAGTAGCTGGTATTCTATCTGTAGGAAGATTTTTTCCCCAGTATCGTCCTAAAACATTTCAAGTGACTATCGCTGAACACAGAATCCATTTGCTTCAGTGTTTCTCAAACACTTTTGATTTTCTCCCAACCTTCAGGCTCTAGAAGCATGTCAAGGTATCCTCCAAACCTCTACTAATCAATCCTTCATATATCCTATTATATATACCCTAAAAAATAGTCATATAATTAACATTAACATACTCACATAACATTAACATACTCACAATTGAATTCTAATTCTAAAATTTTACCTTAAACTTGATCCTATATTAAGTAAAGGGGAACAATGACCAGGAATTAAAGGGAAACATTCAAATGGGATAACTCCAAACTGTACCACCTTATGGAACAATCGTTTTAAATGGCATTGCTAACTCTCCACAAATAACTTGATTTGCAAAGCACCATACAGATTAAGACATTAACGTTGATCACTTTAAACACCAACTTAACACAACCGGCTAGCTAAATATGTTTCTAGCAGTTGTTGAAATTATGGTATGAGTTCTTGAATAATGACTTAATTTTGAAAGAGTGCTTCTACTCAAAGTTGTCATGCTATTTCTAGATTTTTAAGATCCCAATAATTTAGCTCTGGAAGATAGGTTATATATAAATAGCCTCTCTCTTCCTTGTTATATGCGTGAGAGAATGCATCTATGTTTATATATATATACATATATATGTGTGTGTGTGTATATATATATATATAGTCTTCCCTAATGCACACAAACTTATGCATATACACATATAGTCATTTAACACATGTACTCATGTACACGTGTAAATATTCGGTTAGAAGCCCTTCTCTACTTATGGAGTTCTCTTTAACTCAAAAAGCTAGAATGTAACTATACTGATCTTAGATCAGAAGGAGAGGACATAAAAAATAGTGATTGAGGGTAGGTGATCCAGGAATGGTACTATAATTTTTGAGACTTTGGGAAATTGGTTTGCTTTGATTTCAGAGACACCTGCTTTGATTTCGGAGATACCTTTCAGGAGGCCGAAATCCAAACCAACTGTGAGATATGTGTGACACCTTTTCATAATCTCCTTTTGTTGAGGAGGAAAGAGTGGGGCAAGGTTGAGAGTTATACTCAAGAGCACTATATGGTGAGATTGGTCCTTTTTACTCTAAATTCCTTCCTTTCAGAATATTAGAATTTGATGTGACCCTGGAGAACATATAATTCATAACCCACATTTCTAAATCTTTCTGGTGGTCTGTAAGTGTGGAAAGTTGCATAGCCTGTTGGTTTAAGTTGGGCCAACTGTGGTGGTCACTCATACATCTTTTAATGTATGGAAATCAAATAGTCAGCATACCAAGGTTTGGAGACGCTTGACATTTCCCACTTTCAAAATCAATCACCAATCTGAACGCCATGGCTATTACTCAGAGATTCAGAGATTTGCTCTAAGCAGAGACCATGACCTTGGAACAATTATTTTCTCAAAAGGCATTACCAACAATGATGAGAGCAAAGCGCCCAGACTGCCCTCCAGTATATGAATCCCTGGCCAGGAAATGGCTACGAATCTTCCATGAGTAGTATGAGTTTGGCTCAAATCTTATTTTGATGCATTTATATTTCATAAGCATTGCATTTAGACAAAGTTAAAATCAGCAAGTAAAAAAAAAAGTACTTACTTAAAGATTTTCTGTGCTCTGGTTTCTGTTCTTTTATATCATTATCGTAGTGACTTAGTAATTCAGTACTGGAGGATCTCTGGATTTTGAATAATTCCAGGTTTCTTGATGAACCACTTGGATCCTTTGGCTGGAAATAACAAACAATTAGACTGAACAATTTTACAAGGAAGAAAGGATTCACCAAATAGTTTAGTGATCTATTTTGATGTTAATTTTAAAGGGAAGACTGAACTAAGACAATTATTTAAGGACAGGGCCTCTATGCTAAGCTCAAATTTAATAATAGCTATATATATATGTATATATATACATAAAACTTACTAAATGCTCTGCATTACCCCAAGCACTCCACATGTATTAACTCAATTAATCATCACAGTAATCCTATGAGGTAGATATCATTATTATTCCTACTTTCCAGACAAGGAAACTGAAGCCAAAAGAGATAAGTAATTTGTTTAAGGCCACACAGCTAGCAAAGGATGGAACCAGGATTCAAACTGAGGCAGTTTGACGCCAGAGTCCACTCTAAATGACAACAACAAACTCTGTGTGTGGGTGGGTGGATGTGGGCGTGAGCACTCAAGCATGCCTGGATAAGGGAACTATATGGTTGATGGAGAAAAGTCAATCTGTTATTTTTTAAAGTTGTAGTCCCAAAATGATATAAAGGAAGACTGCAATTAAATAGCAATAAAATCACACCGAAAATGCAGTATTTTCCTATTATATACCTTATTAAAAGCTCTCAAGAATAGTTTTTCCTCAAGATTTTGCAAATATTAGTGTCCAAAAATTAGATGTTTCGTCTAGAATCAGTATATAATGGTAATTTTAAGTAATTTGATTCTTATAAATATACTTTAAATGTATGATTTAGGGTAATTTCATGAAATTTTAGACTCATAATTTTCATGAGAAGAACAATCTAGTTTCACTGGAAGAACAATGAAAATCAGTATAAAGGATTATTATTTACTGGTATTATAACAGTGAGTATGGGCTTAAATACATTGATATTTATTTTCGAGAATATGTATTACAGACAACATAAACTGAAAATGTGAAAACTCAGTAGTCATTAAGTGCTTGTGTGCTTTTTACAGCTTCTAGTAAATGAATGTCCATGTCATTTCAGGGGGAAAAATGAATGCACTGTGTTTTTCATTTGAAAGAGAGAAGTCAAATGACATTTAGCTCTACGAATCACGTCTGTTGAAATGGTTTTTTGTGGACTTTATTTAAACTTAAAATAACTTAATATCTCTCCATCTATAGGATCCATTTAAATGTGTGTGTGTTATATGCCTAAGCAATAATTTAAGTGACAACATTTTAATTAATAAAGGTAACAGCCAAAACAAATACATACCAATCTGTCAATTGCATTTTTGATAGCATGGAACCAATCCAATATGATGAAGTCAATATCTGACTGTAGAAGGAACTCATTTCCTGATACTGTTGTGATCTGAAAAAAAATCGACAGGTAAGCAGACCACATAAAATTGATCTCTTACATTAAAAAATGGAGATAGATATATATATCTCCAAGATATATATATATGTTGTTTAAAAAACACACTTCAATACACCAAAATATTTTCTTATATTCCAGTAATTGTCTTTCTGGGAACTGGGAGACCAGGATCATTTTGAACTGCTCTCTATAAACTGTTTTTTCATGTCATAACAAATACATTATTGTTTTAATAATAGAACGATTAACTCAGAGTAGGACTAAAGTTGAATTACTCCAACTCAAGGAGAAGCAAGTCAGGAAGTTCAGAATGATGCAGACAGTACCCACTTAAGTCAGAACCTAAGAAAAATGCACCCGGGTGTGTCAGAATTCATTCTGCGCTTTTGGCTCTTTCCTGTTTGTCTTTTTCAAATCTAATAGTATCTCTATATTTGATTTCCTTTTATGGAGGGCTGTAAAACAGATTATTTACCAAAGAGACGAATGCAGACTTTTCCAAAAGGTCATTCAAATGAATAACATTTGGCTATTTCTACTTTCCTATCATAAAGATCTATAGGAAAGTAATAAAGGACTAATTTCACCCACAAAAGGAGTATATTAGAATAAAAGTTTATTTACATATTTGAACCTCTCATGGAGAGTATTTATCAAGTGAACATCCCCGTTCCAGACTCTCAGAGCTATTAAGTAGTTGGCAATATTTAACATGTAACTATACGTTTTTCATTACAGCGAATCTTTTCCTCTCCAGCATCGTGAGAGAAGAATGTGACCCTATAGAAACAGAGCAATGCTCTTTATTTCACACATAAAAGGCTACTTAGAGATGAATTTGATTAGAGTGGGTGTGGACACGCTTTCTGTATTAGGCCATCAATCAGAACTGTGAAGATTTTCCCTTTGTATTGACTTTTTGTTTCAACAAGAAGATGAACATTTCCCGGCTACTGTCACACATCAAGCAAGGCTTCAGAGTTTTAGAGGACTGACATTTCAAAATACTCAATCAGGAGCTAGTCACCTCTTCTCAGCCTTCCTTGCTCTAAATCGGAGGTGAACACTGACATGTGCCCACAGGTTCAGAAAATCACAAATCATGCTTTAGGATGTCTCTATAATTCTATCATTAAAGTGACAATTATTACCCAAAATAGCTCACTCTGAAGGTTTCAATGATTCTTACGGCAATATTTAATGACCAATGATCCTGGAGTTTTAAAGAAATCTTCAATTACACACATACATATATATTCTCTCATCATTTATTTTTAGAAAAAACGATTCAGAGATGCAACATCACACTCAGGGCTGCAACACAACCATTCTTGAGTGAGATGCGTTCCGACGTTTTACAACTGTAAGGAGAGGAACTCTCCAAGTATATGCAATTATGAGAAGTGAAAGATTAGAAAATAAGAGGAATTTAATTATCCACATTAGAATTTGACAGACTACAGGGGCCAATTGCTCTTTTTTTTTTTTTTAAGTAAAATTGCATGTACGATTTGGGATGGCTCAAAATAGCCTCCAAATAGTCCTCTGTTTTATGTATCTATTAAAAGACAGTTAAGCTGATGTTTGCCTAATTATCTGAACACCCTAGCAATGTTCTTTACTTACATAAAGTTCCAAATATTTACTTTATAAAGTGTTGCCACAGAAATAGCAATCTAGAAATATAAGGTCTCTTGTAACTAACCTAAGAAAACTGGTAATGCCCTTGACCTCTACCTTCCTCCTAATCTAAATTTAAATATTTTGATTATGAATGTATTAAATAACATCACAATTTGTTAACACACACAAAGAAATATGAATTAGCCCAAACACAATGTACAATCTAATATATTTCTTCACCATTATAAATAAACCATTATTAAAATTGTAAAAAGAATTTCAAAGTACAAGAAGCAAACATAATTAGATTTACTATATTCTGAGGGTTTAGGAAAGAGCTCACAGTTCAGTTTTCAGTCCAGTAAATTCAAACAGTGATAAAATGTAAGTACTTCAGCAGTACATTTGCATTTTTGGTGCATGCTATGCAGTGAAAAGGAATCTTTTACTGCCAACACAACCAAAAACAAAATGTATTTTAAAAGTTTCTTTATCCAAATATATGACTGCATTAATTGTACATAAGCAGTGATTTATGAATTCATTTGAGGACACTGGATCAGAGAACTATATGAATGCAATTCATTCAAAATATACTATCAGAAAGATACAGTTCACATTCTTTCCTCTGTCTTCCCACTAATCTTTCCAGTTACTAGGCAGTCTGGAGAAGTCTGCTACTGCTCTCTACAGTTTAAATGCATCCACTTCTTAATTACAGTCAGTAATTGACTTTGTTCTGCTCTATCCCAGACATTCACAGGAAAGCAGTTTCAAAGTCTTTGCTCAAGTCCATTTAATTCAGCTTCCTAGCCACATTTTACATTACCTCCTTAAGGTTTTCTGCTAAATGGTTTGCTGAATCATATTTGCAGTTTGAACAATCAAAATTTCAACACTCTTGGGGAAAAAAGACATCAGTAAAGACTGTTAGCTTTGACTAAACCTTTTGATTGAACAATTCCTGATGACAATCTAAAGTGATGTAATAACAGGCATAAAAGATTTGATATTAAGCCATGCTAATGTATTCTTTCTATATCATGTTTTGCTTCCGTGACAGATGCCGGCACAAGGTGAATGAAGAAAGAACTTACAGCAAGCACAACAGGTTTAGGCAAGAGTGGCTGGTCTCCATTTTGTTCGAAGCCTACTTTAGACAAACATGTCTTGAAATCCCTCCTTGCCACCAACTCCTATTTTGAGCAATCTTAGTGAAATGTGCTAGTGTTGTCAATAATAGATATCTTTAATTGCCTGTCTGGGGAAATTTGCCTCAAACTTTTCACACTCAATAAGGATCTGTTTGAATTCTTGCTGGTGACACATGGATGTCTAGGAAATCATATGAATGTATCCACTGGGCAACATGAAGAATAGACACGTTCTTTAAGGCTTTTGGGTACTATTTCAACAATAGTTTTCCTCTGGGCTAGGAACCTAGGTCTGTGTCCTTCTTGTGGTTCCTCTGAAGATGGAAGCATGTTATCTCCCAGCTCCAAACTCCACCAATAAGTGAGAAGGAGAGGAGAAATTTGTTGTTCAGGCTTTAATTAACACATGGAATATTATTATGCTAATTTAAACATCTTTGAGGAGTTTTAATGAATAATGTTTATGTTTATTTAAGTATTGCCCTTTTCAGTATCGTCAATTAAGTATCGCCCTTGTCAATATACAGTCTGGCATTTAGTCTTTCCTGTGTTCGATTTTAATTTAAATGAAAAGTAATATGTAGAATGGCATTAAACTATTAAAAATTTCTGTAATTTGGCTTACCAGAATAGAAACAAAAACTTTTTAGAATTTCACATTTTTTCCTAATTATAAGAATAATTGTATTTATTATGAAGAATTTGGAAAAAATAAAGATAGCAAAAAAGCAAATTCCAACTATTCATGACTCCACAGAGTAAACACTATGGACATATTAATTTAGTTATTGCCAATCTTTTATAAATAATAATCAAATGTATATGACAATGATTCATACAAAACTTTATGCTATGGATAGATACCTTATCAATAAAACATATTTGATGGCTAAATATTACTGGCTATTTCCATTACACTTGATCTCAAATGCATGTTGAGACTATCAAAGGTGCAAGAGATAATGAGTGATATGCGTTCCCCTCTTTGATAGTAGCACCTTTCCTATCACAGAATAATTCCACAAATAATTCTTTGTTCAGGAGACTGAGAGGGGTGTCTCTGACCAAATACCCCCCTAGTCATCAAGGACTGATTAAGCATCCATTAAGTGCAAAGCACATCACTAGAAGCTAGGGGTACACCCCCCCAAGCCTCAAGAGCTCACAATCTGTTTGCATAAATAGGACATATGCATATAAAGATAAATAACAATAGAAAATAGCTTATACCAAGTCCCAATGTGAGTGGCACAGACAATGCTCATGTCAAGATTTCAGAGGAGGGAGTAATTACTGCAGACACAGTCACATCATGGAATTATGCATAAACTGTTGGTCATGATACGTTATTTTTTAAAGGTTGATTGTATCAGAACTTTAGTATATTAAGGATATGAAAATACTACCACTTGGTATGCAAAGTGATATCAGCTTTAATGATCTCAAAGCACATAATAAACATTCTTTAAAGGCAGCTTCCCTCCACTATCATAAAGTAATTTTGCAAATGAAGAAAATGAAGCAAATGAGAATGTCATTCTATCAAATTGGCATCATTTAAAATGATAGAATTAAGAGATTACAAAGATCTTGATTTCTAGTTCACTAGTCCTCAGCAAAAATCTTATACAGTCAAGGACTCTATGCATATGGGAAAAGGAATATGGTGATTTGGTTTCAGTTGTGAAATCTGGAATGCAGATCTTAGAAAAAAGTCCCTTGTTTCTTTACTGTTATGTTAAAGATAACCCAATTTTATAGGATCACCCAATATCCTTATTCAGATGTTTTCATCTTTTTTTTCCCCCTGAAAAACAACTACTCTCCTACTATGAAAAAATATATCTAAAACAGGATTGGGGCATCCAAAAACATTCCTTCAAATCCTGGAAAGGACTAAAACAATCCTACATTTGAACTAGGTATCATTCATATTTTGCTTATGATCAGTCTTTGAATATGAACCAAAGGAGAATTTATTCCATCTTAATGAAGCTGAAACTATATGTAGGAAATGTGTAATAAATATGCTAAATATTCAAACAGTCCTAAAAAATGTTAAATGATATGGCTACAAGGATTCTTACAAATAAGTGGATTACCCATTTAGGAAGATGGAATTTAATTACTATTGTATTTGGAGACACTTTGGACTTCATGATGAAGTCATTATATTTGAATTAAATTAAGTAGTATAAAAATTTATGTCAAAAT